TCAAAACCATCCAAAAGAATTCTTTCATTAAAATCCTTCGGGTCTTTGAGTTGGCCGGGAGTAGTCTTTTGTGGTGGGTGTCTCTCAGCGCATGACGGACACACAAAGTCGGCAGCACCTTCCACCAGGTGTTCATGTGCTTTGGATTCCTTTAGATGTCGGGCCAGTCTTTCGGCTGTGGGGTGTCCTAGATTATTATGAATCTTGCGCAACATGGACTGTTGCTCTCGAGTACGTTTCAGGAAATTTGGGCCTGAAACAGTGGCACTTAAAGGAGTCCAGCTGGGCACATCTACCTGCACTGGTGGACTGGCTGTTGATTCAGCGGCTTTTGTCTCAATTGATCTATTGGCGGGATCGGCTGCTGGCATTATAGGTGTATCAGGTCGGCTGTCATCTCTGGAAAACAAACACAACATGATATGGCTTGGCACCTCTTTTCGACAAGCCCTTTTCCGAGTTAATTCACTCCAAACTTCAAGTCCTAGGTCAATTATTTCATGAGTGAATCTTTTCTGTACTATGCTATGTCTTCTCGGCAGCTGATCTCTCCAAGCCTCTTCGCCCAACAAAAGACGATCTAGGCCTTTTCCTGCTTTGACTGCACCAATGTTCTCATGTGGAAACAGTTTCTGAATTTCCTGGAAGACTTCATCTTGCGGGTCTTCCCAAGTGACAACACCTGATTTGGGAAGTTTTCTCTGTAGAAATTCAAACATTGGTTTCCACACGTTCGTGGTGTCGTGTGGTGCAGAGGCTTCACCAGAGTTGGTACGTGCCCTTTTGGCAGGCGGCTCTATTTCATCTACATGGCAAATTGGCGCCTCATAGGGGCCTTGGGATGTTTGCATGATTCCACGGACAATGGTCAGCGCAAGCTTGCGTGGATAGAAAGCAGCAAACCTGGACACGGAAATGCTATGGCCCTTCCACTGACATCTTCCTGCTATGGTACTATGACTATGTTCACGATTGCAAACACGGCAGTCCAAAACAGAAAACATTTCAACTGAGGTGGTTTGTATGCGAGTGGATTTTCTCATCAACTGATTTTCACTTGGATGTCTCAGGCCAAAAGCACATTGGTCCAGCTGGGCCGGAATGGAACGCTTCAAAAACGGCTGTATCTCCTGCTGCTTCCAAACGCCGGAGGTTTTGGGGCTTTCGAGATGGGTGTGTCGACCCTCATCATGCTGAATCTGAGCTACCACATTACACAATACCAAGTGTTCTTTGGCAAGACGCTGTTGGTGCATGACTTGTTCATAACTAGAAAGGCTTCGCATGGAATTAAAGCGGTTCCAGGCACACCAAGGACCACATTCCGGGGCAAGCCAAATATGTTTTGGTCTCTGTGTCTTGATGATGTGAAACAAAGCTCTTCTTCCAGTAGCTGTCGATAAATCCCCATCTTCATATGTAAACCTCCTTGCTCGCAAACCATGTTCTTGTGCCACAGTGGTCAACATGCTGTTAGGGAACGCATACACTTCTAGGATGTCCAACTGTTCTGACTTGTGAAAGCTCTTTCCACATTCTGACTGTTGCATCTCAGTCCACAATTGTCTTTCTTTAAAACTAGATTTATGTGACATCCTAGAATCTTGAAATCCCTCCCAAATGCCTCTCATGGAACCGGGTTGTTGGCCAATTGCTCCAGTTGATTGCGAGCTCGGGCATAGCTTGCGAAATCCGCCACATCCTCGGAAAGGTTGTCGGCTCTGGCCAAGATCCACTTGATGTAACCTGGGTCGGACTCGTACACATGGGCGTAACGAGACCTCAGGTGCTTTTTGCCAAAGCCCACGATCTTGTTTCCCCAGCTTTCGAGGGATGCTTGAGTCACCATCAATTGGCTTCCAATCTCGGAAGCTGCGTAAGACGATCCTGGGCTTCCCATCATTGCAGCTGGTGGTCGGGCACTTGGTGTCATTGACACGTGCGGCATGGGCTGTCTCACTGGCATTGGAGGAGGCTGATTGTTGGGAGCTCTGACATTCATCATCACAGCAGGCATCGATTGGGAAGAATTTGGCACCGTTGATGCAGCTTGGCCTTGTGACGGCACCATCTCAGCTTCCCATTCGAAATCTTCTGATCCTGGAACGTGGTTCACAGGGCTCACTATAGGTCCTGGACATGTGGGTGGCTTCTGTTGGAACTGAGCTTGGATCAGATTCCCCAACTGGTCGATCGTCCGACGTTGCTGGGCCACTTCGTGAATCAACTGATTCACAGGGTTCATCTGGAGCTCCGTGGCTTCTTGGTTCGGATCGATCGCACTGGTCATGGTGAACACGATGGTCATCAGGAGCTTCAGACTGGCTAACACTTCCTCTGCCACTGTGCGAAGAGCATCGAGCACTTCCTGACGGGTCGGCATGACTGGCAGGAATTTCACTTTCCAGACCTGGAGGCGGGGCACAGACACTTGATGCGACAAAAGCTGCTGCATTGGACTTGACATCAGGTTGACAAAGATCGGACATGTCAATCATGAACAACCCATTCTTGTTTTCTTTCAAATACAGTGACCTTTGCAGTGTCTTGAGAAAACATGTGTTTTGCCCTAGGTCTATCATAGCTCCTAAGCTCTTCATGGTCTTAATTGACAGCAGGAAAGGTGTGGCTTTCGGCACTACTTCAATTAGCAACCAAATTCGGATTCCCTTGTGGACCAATGGTATGCGTAACTGCTTGTAGCTATATGCAACTTGGTTATTTCCAAAACGGAAACCTACTCTGCTGGGTTTCTCCACGACTTGGTCACGGACACTGGCTGGCAGTTTTTGGAGCATCGCGGGGACATGGTCTTGTCCGATCACACTGCGACTGGCACCTGTGTCCAGTATGGCCATTCCTTGACTTTGCATGGCATCTGAGTGATTCTGGCTGACAAAACCATCGGCTCTATTGGTTGGTCTCGGATGCATCTTCCTGGCGGCACGGGTGTTGGGTGCTGAGGTCACCACTGCTGGTTTCAGGCTGTTTTCTGGACCACTGTTTTTGGTTACCCCTTTATCCCCAATTACCCCTTTATTACCCCGCTTATACCCCGGCTTATTCAGTTTCTTACCCCGAAAGGCTTTCACGTCTTCAACATTTTGCTCGCAGAAAACTGGTTTTCGGTAGCATGAGGCAACGAAACATGTTTCACAACGGGTGCACTCCTGTTCACTCAACTCTTCAAAGACCACTTGGCTGGTCTCCTCTTCGGCATCGGATGCTTCGGAAGGCATGGAGAAGGCAACGTTGGCAGTTTCACGGGCTTCTTTCCTCTGAGGGCATTCTGCGCGCCAATGGCCAAGGGCGCCGCAGAGCTTGCAATGCGTTTTTGCAATGCGAGCCAACAACTCTTCTTTTCCAGACTTTCCAACACCTTTGCGGTATGGCCGGGAGCCATCTTTGAACCCACCTTTCCCTTTTCCTTTTCCCGTGGGCCAAAACCCTCGGCTGCGACGGCGATCATTGATCCTCTGCCTAGCCTCATTGTATGAGACCATTGCTTGTTGCATGTCAGGAATCTCTTGCAGCATCTCTTCGAAATCACGCTCAAACTGTTGCACTACGTTGGCATCCTCATCTCCCTGAGACACTAGGTATTCCAGATGCTCGGTTGTCAAAACATCCTCTTCCTCATGGTATGCAACGTAAGTGCTTTGAACCGGAAGGCTTTCATCGGATTGGGTAGGTGGCTCTTCCACCTCTGAGAAATTGATCGGGTAAATCTTTTTCTTGGCTTCACCAGGACCCATCAACACACGTGTGGACAACGACCTCATGGCTTGGTCAACTGCGGTCAGATCCAGCTTACCACCTGTCATCGTCAGGATTTTCTTTTTGTCTTCGGACGACAAACCTGACTGTCTCAACATCACGAAGGCTTGCATTTGTTTGACAGTGACATCATCACCTATCTCATTGAATGCAGCTTGAAGGCGAAGTGAGAAACTATGGGAGGCCTCATCAGACTTCTGTACTACCTTGTAGAGTGCTCGTTCAAACAGTTCATACGTTTTCATCTCTGATGTTTCTTCCCAAGCTGACAAAGCGGCCAACAAGTATTCAACACCTGAGTCGGCCTTGGTGAGCTTCTTCGGATCTAACTGACGCACCTGGGACCAAGCTGTCCCTTTACACAACATAGCTAACCTGGGAGCTAAATTGGGCTTGTCCTTCTCGGGCATGACACCGTGGATGAACCTGGCTTTCTGTGAAAACTCTCGTATGTCATCTTCACTCGGGTCAAAGCTGGGCAGCAAATTCCAAAAATTGGAACCCTGCTGGGAGTCACCGTTCCCATCAGTTGAGGCAGACTCTTTAGGAGGCATTGCTCACTATCCAGAAGCCACCAAACTAGCGGGCCGGCTTTGCGTGCAAGTAGCACGAGCCTCTAGGCTCCGCTACCAGTGTCGTTGGATCGTAGATCACAACTCCACTGATAACAGTTCCCACCTGAATGGTTCAAGGTCCTCCTTGATCACCAGAAAGTAGTTGATGTTCAACCAAAGTAAAGTCGTTCCAACAGTGTTGTCCACAACACCAAAAATGTATATCTATCCAACCAAATCCCAAAAGAGTCCACTCTTCACCTTCCAACCAATCCTATGGCGGCACTCGAGATTTTTCCCCTATCACGCTGAAATTGGCCTTGAGCCACGAGTCAAAAGGCACATGATGAATGTGCTTTCCCCTGACAGGAAACAATCGAAGGTGTATGCGGCAGCAGCAAGTTACAAAACACATATATATATATATGTATAAATAGATAGATATGCAAATAGACACATAGAATAAATATATTCAAAATATATTCAAGAAAATAGAATTTATATAACTAAATAATTGATAACTGGATAGCCAAATACTAAGCAACTGCATGATAAATAACTTAAAGATAACTAAATAGACTATATACATCTAATAGAGATACAAACCCTCCCGTTGTAAACGACCAAACCCAATGTCTGGTTCGCAGGGCCTTGCCATATTGCTGCCAGGCACCCAAAAACATCCTGCTGCGGCCCAACCAGATGTGCCTCGTTGATCTGGTTGATTTGTTTCATGCCGATTATATGGGGTTAAGATGAATTACGGGGGATCACCCAGTATAATGGGATCTGAACATTTCCATGCAGAGGTTTGATGGGGTTAACCTGAAATAACGACTAATGAATGGCATTTACGCATCAATTTTCTAGTTTTCTTTTATTTGTTTGGTTGATTAATGATGGTTCATGCGCTGAACTGGAATTTTTCAAGCAGAACTTAAGGGACCAACCCCCTAATGAGTTTGATGTCTGGGGAAATGGGCACGTACCAGAGTTTTCATCCGCACCCACTTAATTTACGTACTGTCAATATTCTTGTTTTTTTCTAATTCACCTTTCTTACGTGAACAATATACTGCAAGGTTGCTATGCAAATACTTCGGATTTTGTACATCCTTCCAACGATTCTCTGCAGTGAGCACAACTTGCCAGAATGACGAATACCCAGCCAACATCATGCCAGGATTCTTTCCGGGTTGGTGGTCCCAATTTCTTGAAAGGTTCCTTCTGGTATTGTTGAAACCAATCAACATTTTATGATTCTACTGGAAGGGAGTCAGACCCATTTCCAATCTCAACCGTACATCCGGCTCTAGAGATGACCCTTGTCGTTTTCCAAGATCCTCATCTGTGCAGGGTGGTTAGTTATATCAGTTGTTTAGTTATAATAAGTTATAGTATCTTTACCAAAAAAACTAACCAACTATTGGTTGGTTGATTCGTTTTATAGTGAACGAATTCCATGGCGCGATGTGTGTTGGATGTCCCCATCTCCGCCATCTCCGCCATCTCCGCTCAGTCGTGAGACAGTCTTCCCGACGGCCTGACACCCAGGGGCTGCAATCGTGGGTTGGGTTTTAGTCATAAATCCTGCATCTAGCTGAACATTATTACTATTACTATTCCCATCATCATCATTATATATATATATATATTACTATTATTATCATTACTATTGTTATCACGATTATTATCATTATCATCATTATTATTGTTTTTCATCTCGTCATTATTGCCGTTTTTCTTTCTGCCGGGAATTGATCAGATCAGCCACGGTCGCCTGAGCTTCTGAGATCTTGGGCTTTCAGATGATGAGAGTGGGCCAGTTGGAGCCTGGGCACAGAACGGGGACTGGTGGAGGGAGTTGGGAGTTGCACAGAACCCTGCAGAAATCACAAATTTTAATAGGTAAATATGGTAAATCATCTATATCTGGTTGGTGGTTTCAAACATGACTGGATTATGACTTCCATTTCATAGAAATGGGAGTTTTATCCGAAACCCATTGACTTTAAGTCCATCATATTTTTCAAGATGGTTATTGCACCACCAAGCAGATCATTATTGGATGATTATTTACCCTCTGGTAAACTAACATATCTATGGAAAATCACCATTTTTCATGGGTAAATCCACTATAAATGGCCATAGGATTAAGGATAGAACGAATGTTGAGGCAGTGCCCCTAAAATTTTGAGGCAGTGTCGGCAGCGTTGGCAGTTTCCAGGCTGGATCTCTTTAACCGCAATGCGGTAGCTGCTGGTACTGATGATGACGGTGAAGGTGAATTTTGAGATGATGATGTGATGTTGTTGTTGTTGATGATGATGATGCTGTTGATGCTGATGGTGGTGACACTGAATTTAAGCTGCAAACGAACAATTGCCAATTTATAAATAATGATCCCATATTTTCCGCCCACAATTGAGATTTTCCTCTTCCAGCCATGTTCAAGGTTTCAGATTGGCAGGTTTTCGGGCAATTGCTTAGCTATCTTAACTCCCCCTTTTTATTTTCCATGGTTTTCATCTTGTTTTTCCCCATGATTTTCCATGCTTTTCAGCTGATTTTCGATGAAAAGCACGCCCAGATTGTTGCGGCGGTCCCTGGAGAATTCACCACCATGGCCGGCAAAGTCACCAGGGAGGCCTCTTTTTTCGGCTGAAAAATGGGAATCTGGATGGTTTTTTGGGGATATGATATTAAGTTTATGAAGTTATATATGATTTTACAGGCACTTTTTGTTCTCAATCTGGGTTGGTTTAACATGGTTCAACAATTTTTTTGATTCTGATTTAAGAATCAACAAGGGTAGAAATCAAGAAAATGGTGGCAAACCTATGACTTTCCAACAAGGAATATAGTGGACATTCAGTTTCCTTTGTGAAAATCAATTTCAAAGCTCGTTGTAACATGGATTCCACGTTGAATACTTGGAAGGATTTGAGCCTGTCTTACTTTTGGATAGGGACCATCTTTTATATGGCTTACCATGGGTTCTCATCGTCCCTGGCTCCTCCATGTCCTCCTTGCTTTGGGTCGGCTGATGGCTGGTTCAGTGGGGATCTTTATCATCCAATGTGGCAATGGAAATCCACCACTTATGCGTAGATAATTTTTGAACACCTCCATTTATACACATGGTGTGTTACCATTGCCACGTTTACTGGAGGCAACTGCCAAGTACGGTTCCATTGGGCAATTGCCTGTCAAGCTGAGTTGTTAAATCGATATATCATATATATATATATCAGTTCTATCCCTTTTGCCTGGTTAATCCACAGATTGATTCACAACTGGTGTTCTTGACCTTTAAACAAGAATAACACACATGTTTTTTTTTACACCTTCATGCTAGTTGAGTACATCCTTATTTCTTGGTAAATCCTGATTTCTTGTTGGTTCAACCAGCATTCATGTCACATCACACCCGATCACCCCGCGCCCACTTGATCAATGTTGCTGACCAATGTATGCCAGCATCCGAACCAAAATGGCTGTTTTTTTAACTGCCCTTCCAAGCAGAGCGGGGTAACAACACCGAATTGGAGGGATAAGGGGTAGGCAAGTTTCTTTGCTATGACTGTGACAGCATGGCTGTGTTCTTTTTTTAGAACCCGGTATCCCCACGTTGACATTGGCCTGTCTGAAATTAGGATAACCCGAAATCCCATGGTTTATTGCCATTTTCCAGATCTTTTCATGGCAATTTTGGGGTATCACCAATTTTGGACTCACCGAAACATGACAGTGTCAGTTGCAAATCCTATTCTATCCCAGCTCCGATAATATCCCCAATATGTCCCTATTACGGTTGGTTTATCCCCATTATCCACCATAAATTTCTGGTAAGTCGTTGTTTATGATTCAACAATTTCAACAGCATTTTTGGTGGTTTTGGGTTCCAATTTTCCATGATATCCCCATGATAAGCCTATGATATCCCGATGATATCCCGATACCCCCGGTTTCAACACTCGGTTTCTCCCCTGTGAACGGAGGCAATCAAAGCGGTCTTGGTGGAACCGGGATTGGTGAACCAGAGCGCTACCGTGGTGCCTGGAGATCAAGAGATGATTTTCACATTAACACGTCCATTTATAAGGGATTTTCCATGGCTATGTTAAATAACCAGATGGTATATGATATATATATATATATGTAATAGGTTAATAGTATATGGAACCAGATCAACTTATACCAGTAGTACCGCACAAGGCGGTGGCGGAAGTTTCAAAGATAGGAAACTATAGGAGAGGTGAGTTGTTGTGATGCATGGATGGCAGAGCGAATCCACTGATGGACCGAAGGTGGTTGTGATTTTTGGACTGGTTGCAGTGGTCACCCCACCCACAACTGCAGGACGTAGAGTGGTGCAGTGAAGTGCAATGTAATTGCAGTTTTAGTTGTTGTTGTATTATTAGTTGTACATAGTTGTAGTGTAGTTGTAGTTGTAGTGTAGTTGATGTTGTTGAAGTTGTAATGTTGTACTTGTAGTTGTTGTTGTAGTCGTAGTTGTAGTTGTAGTTGTAGTGTAGTTGAAAATGTGGTTGTAGGAATTGAAGTAGTTGTAGGAGTTGTAGTTGTAGCTGAGCTGTGGTGTAGTTGTAGTTGTGGTAATTGAGGCTGTTGTTGTAGTGTAGTTGAAGCTGAAGTTGTTGTTGTAGTTATAGTGTAGTTTACTGGTAGTGGCAGTGGTAATTGTAGCTGTAGCTGTAGTTGTAGTGTAGTTTACTGGTAGTGGCAGTGGTAGTTGTAGTTGTAGTCTAGTGTAGTGGTAGTTGTAGTTGTAGTTGTAGTTTAGTGTAGTTGTAGTTGTAGTTGTACTTGCAGTTGGTGGTGGTGGTGGTGGTGGTGGTCGTCGTTGTCGTCGTCGTAGTAGTAGTAGGAGTAGTAGGAGTAGTAGGAGTTGTAGGAGTAGTAGGAGTAGTAGGAGTAGGAGTAGGAGTAGTAGTAGTAGTAGTAGCAGTAGCAGTAGCAGTAGCAGTAGTAGCAGTAGCAGTAGTAGGAGTAGGAGTAGGAGTAGGAGTAGGAGTAGAGGAGGAGGAGGAGTAGGAGTAGGAGTAGTAGGAGTAGTAGGAGTAGTAGGAGTAGTAGGAGTAGTAGGAGTAGTAGTAGTAGTAGGAGCAGTAGCAGGAGTAGGAGTAGTAGTAGTAGTAGTAGTAGTAGGAGTAGTAGGAGTAGTAGGAGTAGTAGGAGTAGTAGGAGTAGTAGGAGTAGTAGGAGTAGTAGGAGTAGTAGTAGTAGTAGCAGTAGCAGTAGCAGTAGCAGTAGCAGTAGTAGGTAGTAGCAGTAGTAGGTAGTAGCAGTAGTAGGAGTAGGAGTAGGAGCAGGAGTAGGAGGAGGAGGAGTAGGAGTAGGAGTAGGAGTAGTAGGAGTAGGAGTAGTAGGAGTAGTAGGAGTAGTAGGAGTAGTAGTAGTAGTAGTGGTAGTAGTAGTAGTAGTAGTAGGAGCAGTAGCAGGAGTAGTAGTAGTAGTAGTAGTAGTAGTAGTAGGAGTAGGAGTAGGAGTAGGAGTAGGAGTAGGAGTAGGAGTAGGAGTAGTAGGAGGAGTAGTAGTAGGAGTAGGAGTAGGAGTAGGAGTAGGAGTAGTAGGAGGAGGAGTAGTAGTAGTAGTTGTTGTTGTTGTTGGTTGTTGGTTGTTGGTTGTTGGTTGTTGGTTGTTGGTTGTTGGTTGTTGGTTGTTGGTTGTTGTTGTTGTTGGTTGTTGTTGTTGTTGTTGTTGCAGTTGCAGTTGCAGTTGTAGTGTTGTGTAACGGTAATTGTAGCTGTAGTTGCAAATGTAGTCGTAGATGAAGTGTAGTTGAAGTTGAAGTTGTAGTTATAGTGTAGTGGTAGTTGCTATGATATAGTTGAAGTGTAGTTGTAGTGTAGTGTAGTCGCAGTTGTCTACCTATCTGTCTATCTGTTTATCTCCCTGTCTGTCTGTCTGTCTATCTATCTATCTATCTATCTGTCTATCTGCAAGCACAAAAACGAAGCTATTCTGCGAGACTTCCTTTTTAAACTTGACAACGTCAAAAACGAAGCAATTCTGGGAGACTTCCTCGATTTTTAACTTGACAACGGAAACAATTCTGCGAGACTTCCTCAGTTTTCAAAGTTGACAACATGAAAAACGAAACAATTCCGCGAGACTTCCTTCAAAAATGGAAAGTTGAGTGCAGAGCTGACGGCCTCGTACAAATGCGTTTTGCGATTTTCCACTTCATCTGTGTCAAGTGCTGCGCGTGCCATGCAAAAGTGATGCCAGGTAATACGAAGCTGCACCTGTCACGCAAAATCATCTTAGCAAACCTGAAGATCTGATGCTCCAAAATGCAACCCCTCTCAGGAAATCAGCGCCCAGACCTCCTGATATCTCTGATGCACATGTATCTTGTACTACGCCCGCCACGCAAAACCACATCTGAACCTTCAAAGGTGGTCCGGGCATGCGTTTTTTTTTACATTTTGAATTCGATTTTGTTCGCGCCACAACGGCGCGCACTTTTTGAACATTTCAACTTCAAAAGGTGCTCCGACGCTGGTGTGCTTTGTACATTTTGACTTCGAAATGTGCTTCGCGCCACAACGGCGTGCATTTTTTCGACATCTCAACTCCTAAAAGTGTTCTGAAGCTGAGGTGTATGTGCATTTTGACTTCCAAATGTGCTTCGCGCCACAGCCGCGTGCACTTTTTCGACATGTCAACTTCCAAAAGCGCTCCGAGCATGAGGTGTTTTCAGCATTTTGACTTCGAAATGTGCTTCGCGCCACAACGGCGTTTAATTTTTAATTTCTCATCTGCCCAGATGGCACCGCACCTGCCGCTTTAACGAGCCTACTTTTCGACCCTCTGGAGCCACAAATCATTGGAAAAAACGCAGTGCTTCGCGACTTTTCTACCTTTTCGTGCGCCTGCATCTTCTTTCTTCTGACTCTTTCTCTTCTCTGATCTTCTTCTCTTCTCTTCTTTTCTCTTCTTTTCTCTTCTTTTCTCTTCTTTTCTCTTCTCTGATTCTTTTCACCTCTGCTTTTTCCATCTGTCCATATGGTCGGAAGTTTGATTTCTAAACTTCCTTCGACAATGTCTTGAGTTACGTATGTTTAGTATCTTTAGTATATCTTGAGTATATTTCAAGGAAACTTAAATTTACTAGAAACTCACATGCGATTGAGAAGTTCACTTGAACCCGGAAAGATGGTACATGATGGTTTCTCACATAAAAAAAGGGATGGCATGATGATGAAAGCATGAAAGCACCCAAATATGAGGAGTTTCCGGCTATTTAAGCGTATATAAGTGTAACGACTTGACAATGGCCGACTTCACCCCAAACGACGATTAGGATGGCATTTTTTTTGCTGACGAAAGTTTTCCAACTCGCCTAGATAGATGGCCCCACATCTCCAGTGGTAATACTGGTAGTTGGTGGACACTCCCAATGTGGTGCTATTGGGTTTAGTGATGTTTAACCCACAAGAACTGATATAAATTAGGGAACTCATCCAGAGAAAAGGGAAGGACATGGGCTATAGGTGCTCCAGGTTTCCACTGTTTTCGCTGGTTCCGATTCTTTCTTCAGCCCCTTCTTAGCGCCCAATGTGTTGAATCTTTTCATGCAGTCCCATGACGGGGGAATTTGGAGATGCAGATCCTTTCCCACATGGGGTGACCGGTCCGCTGAGGTGCTGAACAATGTGGCCAGTGGTTCGGACCCCCGGCAACTGCTGGTCTTGAAGGAACTTGACCCCTGAGGCGTTGATTAAACTTGTTTTGGATCAGAAACTCTTGCAGTTGTGGATGGCAGCCTTTGGAATTCTAAACATTCTCACGGATTGTCAAAAGATATGAAGCTCGCCGACATGGTCGTTGAGCAGATCAGGTTATGCTGGCTATGTCACTACCCTCGAGGACATTATGGCCTGTGCAGTGGATCGGGCGCCGAGGGGAAACTCTTGCCGAAGAACGGAAGAATATATATATGTATATATATATACATATTATATTATATTATATTACATTATATTATGTTACATTATATTATATTAAAATATATTATACTATATTAAATTATATTATATTACACTATATTATGCTATATTATATTTTTATATTATTATATTATATTATATCATATTATATCATTACAAAATGTTATTATTTTTTATTATCTCATATTATATGATTATCAAAAATATATTTTATTATATTATATTTTTTTATATTTTTATATTATTATATTATATTATATTATATTGTATTACCTTCAATTATATACTATATTTTATTTTTTTTTTAATGTATTGTAAATTATACAATACATATTATACATTGTATATTTTGTATTACATATTGTGTGTTATATATCGTGTATCATTTTTTTTGGTATATATGTTTTTATGTAGATTATATACTATATATTATTTAAAATATATAGTAAATATTAAAAAATATGCGTCATGACTAATATATATTATGTATTCTGTAGAAAGTTACTTATATTTTGGAATATATATATATATGTATATACATATATATATATATATTTATATTTTTTTTAAAATAATTGTTATATAATATTTTTTGCATATTATATATATATTAAATAGATTATATATTTAAAGAAATTGTAAATGTTAAAAGACAAAATATTTTTCAACATATATTTTATTGTATTTGATATTTTATTATAATATATTTATTATATATATAATATATATATATATACACTATATATTTTATTTTACACATTTTAGAATATATATATAGATTTATTTATATCATGTATTTTTTTTTTATATAACACATATATATATAACATATATATATAATATGTAAAATATTTCGTTTTATAATATATGTTAACTAACTAGTTCCACAGGTTTTCCTGGCCGTGCTGCCGAGGCTGCAGCGGCTGATGCGGGCTTGGGACGCTCATGGGTGGAAGCTCCGCCTTCGGGCGTGGGGGCCTGGCTCGCAGCGGCGGCCGCCCTTTTTTCTGATGCGCCACCTGCCGGAATTCTTCGCTTGGCGCTGGCTCCAAGGCAACCTCCCTGCCTTACTCTGGTCCGTCCTGTGGCGGCCAGAGGTGGAGCGGCCCTTTACGGTGGAGGAGGAGGAGGAGGAGCTTGGCATCGAACGGCATGTGTTCGGCTTGAGCCTGCCGACAATGCCGCGACAGACCCTGGTCTTCGAGTTGACCATGGTCCAGCTCCTGGCGGAGGATGACGCCGGTGCCCAAAGCCCCGTCGTGTCTTCCGGAGAGGAGGAGGATCTGCATGCACCCTTCGGCGATGATTAGTTTCACCTCCTTAAGCTTTGGTTTTTTGAAGAAGCTGAGAAGCGAGAGGCAAAAAAAAGCCCCTTGGGTGAAGAAGGAAGCAGGAACAGAGATGGCGGATTTGACCGAGCGCCGCGTTTGGAAGATGCTGCTTCGATTTGTCCATCAGCATGGTATCAGCAATGGTCATGTTTCATTATGTTATTTCTGACCTGTTTCGTTCCATAAGAATTTTACCTCAGGTCGGCCTCTTCCGCTGCCATTTGGAGCGGCTTGGTTCATGAACATCTAGACCGACTTTTCAAAGACGCAATCCAGCCCAACTGTTCACAGCAAATTCAGATCCAATCAGAGATGAAGTGATATTCTTCAAGTCCATCACCCCTTCTCTGAACTCAGATTCATGAGTCGTCCACGCTGCACTAACTCACAAGGTAACGTCAGTATTCATTTTGGCAGCCTTCAGAAATCGTCCCTCGGAATAGCGGCTGCGATGACACGGCGGGACATGTCCGTCTCGGACAGCGACACCGACCCCCAAGAGCAAAGTGAGGATTCCAATTCATCCAACGCCAACCGTCTCATTGACCTGTTTAAACAGCGGCTGAAGCTCCGTGCTGCTGCCACTGTGGAATTCAGGCACGCTAAGTTCCAGTACCGGTTGTGGTTCGAGACATCGATGACTCGGCAGCAGAATGGGCGCAGCTGCCAGCAGTGGTCCCGAGTCTACCAGCCCCCGGCACGCTAGCTGCTGCAGCTCTGCCGCCGACCAGTGTCCTCCTCATCGAGCCAGTCTGGACGCTGCGTGGCCCAGCTGCTGCACAGCGGCGGCTCATCGCTGGATGCGATCGACCGGCTGCTGAAAGCCGAGTGCGAACTCAGGAAGATGAAGAGGGCAAAGAACAAACGGGAGATGAAGTGGAAGAAACGGAAACGGAACGAGGAGAGGTCTGCCAAGAAAGATGCAGGCTCGGATTTCGCGAAGAAGCCCTAGACGGAGACGCGTGAGAAAAAAGGCTGTCCAGCTAACATCACGCCAAGTGTCAGATAAGTGGCTCGTTGCTCCTACGTTCGTTTAACATTGTTCAGGTTTTTCCCTGATTTGAAATTGATCGGTAGTAGTTGCGGCAACAGTTTTCAAGCAGGGTTTTCCATCCGACACACCAAAGGAGAAACATCAGACAGGATGCCGATGGCACAGGGGCAAAAGTTCATTGCAAGCAGCCATTCGAAATCATTTGCCGTCCGATCCGGCGAGCCCTGCGCCAGGTCCGGACCCCGTCCACAGAGTGATTTCATCCTCTCGTTGCGGGGTCAATTCTCATTTCACCTTGTAAGATCAGAAGCACTACATTGAACACTGAGGTTCTCTGCCTCTGGACCTCAGGGCCGGTGCCTAGCATTTGCATTATGTTCTCGGCAGTTCAGACCTGCCATAGCTCTATCACTGTCCTTGCACCGTATCAACAAGGAGAGACAAAGCAATGCCTTTCCTCCATGACTGCTGCGTTGGACTCTTGCACACGGAGTCTTTTCCGTCTGCAGCTAGAACATTTTGGAAATTGCCGCTTGAAATTCCAAAGGACAACGCGGACGACGAAGTACCAGAAGAAGACAGTGTCCGCGAAGAAACAGCAAACCCCACCGGGGCGACCGGTGGCATGCGGTTTTTAGTGCCAAGTATAGCCCTTTAACAACCATCCGTTGGTGGAAAACCTTCACTCTTCAGGACAGCACGGCCACCGTCGCCATAGTGACGGCGCAGCGCAAGGAGCTCAGTGCTGTTGTGAAAAGACATTGTTTTATGTTTTTGTGCGGTTACAGGTCTAGGCAATAACGCAGAAGCATTGATTGCGAACATGTGTCTTTATGTTAATCTAGATATATTTCTGTGTGCAGGGGCATCTCCTGTACTCTGACATGCCCCGTGCTCGAATAAGCAAGGGTCTCGAGTATGAAGACATGTAGAGCAGAGTTGTTTTTGATGCATCAAAGCGAGCTTTGCATATTGAAGTTTGCTTCCTGCAACAGGATCAGTATTGAGATACATATACATCCGCGTACTATTCGTGTTTCCCTGTTGCATCTTCCCGCCGTCATGCTCTTCCAGCCCTCTTGGTCGATAATTGGCACAAACGTCATTAGCTTTCTAGATCACTGATCGCAAGCTCGTTTGAAAATGGCCGGCATTGTTCAGCCTTTTAGGGACATGGGGTTCGCTGTTAGCAGATTATCATATTCATATGTATTGAACTGTATGTTATATATTTAGTATATATTATATTTATTATATTTTTTAACTTTTTATTATTTTTATGTATTATCTATATTTTATATATTCTATATGCTATAGATTATTGATATTATTTATTATATATATATATATTAAAAATATATGTATTGTTGGTTATATATATATATATCTTTTCAAAATTTTACATTTTTTATATTACATATATGTTTCAATTTTGAATGTAAATATATATATATTATATTATATTATATTATATTATGTTATATTATATTCAACTATATTATGCTATATTATATTATTTTAAATTATATTATATTATACTATATTATATTATATTATACTATATTATATTATATTATACTATATTATATTATATTATACTTTATTATGTTATATTATATTATATGATATTATATTATATGATATTGTATTATATTATATATTTTATATATCACATTTTTTTTTTTAAACTAATAGATATTTTAGACAGTATATATGTATATATAATTGAATGTATTGTACATTTTGTTTTTTCAAACACATTTATTATTGTACATTAATTATTATTTATTATTTCTTATATATTATATATTTTATTTTTAATATCTTATTGTATTTTAAATACTATATATATATTATTATGCATTATTATTTATCTTATATCAATGTTTATTATATTATTATATTATTATATCAGTAAGTCGTATATAGTACATAAGTTATGTTTCTTTGAAATATATTTCGTTTATTTTTGCTTTTATAATTCATAGTGAATTACATTTTATTTATATTATATGTTTTTTTATTATTTATATTTTATATTATTTATATTTTATATTATTTATATTTTATATATTGTATATGACATATTAGATATTATGTATCAAATATTGTATATCATATTATCATATTCATATAAAAAATCCCTATGGATATGCCTCAAAATTATTGACCCCCCAGCAATTGCATGGCGCCAGGAGTATCAACATCAGCGCTATGAGGGTGGCTTCACCACTTACGGCCCCTACACGCATGCAGTGCGCTGACCTGGCTGTGAGTGACCGTTTCAGAAGTACCGAAATCTGCTGGTTAAATCGCCACATTTTAGGAAATTTTCGGAGAATCATGAAGCTCTGAAGCATCTAAATGGAGGTTTCCAAATCCATGGGGGTACCCCCATTCATCATCCATTTTCTAGAAGGATTTTCCATAACCAAAAACCATCCAGCTATTGGGGTAACCCCATTCATGGAACCCCCCAAAAAACGGCACGGGACGCCCAGTGGTTGATGAAAACTAGTGTCAATGGCGTATCAATCAAGGTTAGTAATCAGATAGTGTCAATAGTTAGTAAATATTCATTGGTGCCATTCAAGTAACCCATCGTATCCAAATTGGATCCCTCGACTTGTTTCATTTGAGCCTTTTTTTTGTTTGCAGTCAAGACGAGATGTGCGGAAGTATCGGATCCCTCTCGGTTGGTCAAAAGCTTTGCCGGAAGTCTCTCAGGCCATGACAGACATCCTGGTACAGATGGCAGAGGAAACCGGCAAAGATAAAAAATTATATCTGCTGGGTCACGTTCCGGTAAACATACAAAAAACAACGGAAATTCACGGTTGTTTCCCGTTAATACAGAATCTAGGTTTCTTTTCCATAGCTGCTATGTTAGTCAACTGGAGGGTAGATGGATTTTTATAGCAACATGACCCAGATTTGTATGGCTTTGTGGGAATTTAACTGGTACCCTGAACATGATTTTCATAGCCCGATTTTACGACGAGCTAACATTAACTGGGGCCTGAAAATGGGACCCATAAGATGGTCGATCCAAGGTGAAGCTCTAAGGCTTTGCGAAGGGGGCCCCCGAACATTAGAACTTGGATATTCTTGACCCCATCTACTGTAATTATGATTCTAATATGTGGTAATCACCATATAATAATGAACATGTATAGTTCTAATGACCATATATATATGTATAAATAAAGAAATAAATATATATATATAAACATATATAAACTATATTGTGACTACTAAGAACATGAGTGCCAATATGGTGCTATAGCGCTTATTATATAGTTATTACATAACCATATATGAAGTTTTCCTAAAATGGGGGTGCCCCAAAATCATCCATTTTAATGGGAATTCCCATTTTAAACCATCAATTTTGGGGTACCCACATTTATGGAAACCACCACATAAGTTATAATGACTAATATGGTTATAAACTAACTTGGCATACGAACTGGGGCACAATGCCGGCAGTTGCAGGCAAGGGATATATAAGCGTAATGTCCTCTAATATGATAGTTCCAGATAACAATAATAATAGTTATGCTGATGCTGATGGTGATGGTGATTGTGATGGTGGTGGTGATGATGATGATGATGATGCCGATGATGATGCTGATGCTGATGCTGATGCTGATGCTGCTGCTGCTGCTGATGATGGTGATGATGATGATGATGATGATGCTGATGCTGATGCTGATGCTGCTGCTGCTGCTGATGATGGTGATGATGATGATGATGATGATGATGATGATGATGGCAGCGGCGGCGGCAGCGGCGAGGGCGACGATGACCGTTATAATTATCGGTAGCAACAATATTTTTTGGCGGGCTATTTTTTTTGAATTATTTTCTGTTTTTTTTTTATTCTGTTTTCCTGCTTCTTTGCCTTTCTGCTTCTCTGCTGCTTGCTTTTCTGCTTTTCCCTGCTTCTCTGCTTTTAGGTTTCTTTGCTTCTCTGCTTCTCCACTTTTCTGCTTCTCTGTTTCTTTGCTGTCTTCGCTTCTCTGCTTCTCCACTGTTCTGCTTCTCTGCTTTTGTTTTTTTTCTTTTCTGCTTTTCCCTGCTTCTGCGCTTCTCGAACCTAAACCAAATCTAAAACCAACCCTAAATTAACCCTTAAACAACCGTAAGCCAAGCCTAAATCAACCCTAGTCGCAACATACCATGCAAACATGAACAGTTTGAGCACCCAAATGTTGCAAATACAAAGAAAAACGAGAGGTTCAAACTACAAAATGGTGCAAATACAGTTGAAATTGCAACTTCCAGCTCCAAAACGCTGCAAATGGCCAGGAAAACGGGCAAAAAAACAGATCAGAAACAAATTCCCACAAGGGAAAACAATAATTCCCAAAACAATTCCGGACCCATATTTCTTAAGAATAACAATATCAATATAATCCCTTCATTATTGAAATGATACGTCCTAATCCCTCTCAACATGTTCAAATCTTCCCAAGGGACCGTTGGAGCGTTGCAGGACTTGGCAGATGGGAAGCAGAGCTATCCAGGGATCAAGCCGCAGTTGCCCAACAAGGCGTGACGGAACAGTTTATGGTGATGTCATTGGGATCGTTGATGGGATACCCTCTGGTAATGGCTGTTACATAGCTATTGAAAATGGCCATAGACATAGTTGATTTTCCCATTAAAAATGGTGATTTTCCATAGTTATGTTAGTTTACCAGAGGGTAACCAACTTTATATTTTGGCTTGTTTGTTGGTTCCATCAAGGGGGCTCTGTCGGGGGACCTCTTCACAGTGCCTGTCCGCCGACGTCGTTCCGATGGTTTGTGGCGTGGAAACTTTGGAACACAAGGAGATACCCCGTGGTGAGACTCGCCATGAACGATGGGGTCATCTAGGGCACCCCAACCCCATCTATCTTCACATGGATCTATCCTTGGAGCATAATCCCAACTGAGTTTCCGAACATATTTGAACCATGTGCACCTTCATGCTCGTTGCTCGAGCTTGCTACAATACTCCACTTCATACCACATGACCAAGTGGCAGTCATGATGAGGCTCACAATCTCAATTACCCAGGCACATCAAAAGATAGAAGCCAACACCCATTGTGACCCAAATCACACAGCATTCATTTTTTCTGGCCTCTGAGAAGCCTTGAGAAGGGACAAAAATGCGTTTTTTCACATTGCGGTGACCTAAAGATCCATTCCAAAAATTACCCTCTGGTAATTTGTTACATAGCTATTGAAAATGGCCATTTATAATTGATTTACCCATTAAGAATGGTGATTTTCCATAGCAAACTGTTAGTTTACCAGAGGGTACAGTGGGCCTTGAAAGCCGCGAGAGGCGGAGCAATGGGAGATGAAGCAGGTGATTTTGGACGATCCTCCCATTGGAGGAAAGTTCCGAGACGGTCCTGTGAGGGCATTTTTCCAACCAATGTTGGTTTGGTTGTTTAATGGGGGTTTAATGGGGTTCAATGGTGGTTTAATGAGATTTCATGGGGTTTCATGGGTAAAGTGTAAAGGAACAAAAAGATATGGAACAACCATGGGGAAAGCCGTTCGGAAAATGATCTACATTCATGCTGGTAAACACCACATCCAACTGTTAGTTTCCTGCAGGGTACTCAAAGTGCGGGTTTCACCCAGAGAATCGGGATTTCACATAGCAGAAATTGGAATTTCACCAAGAGAAAATTGGGATTTAAACATCACATATAGGATATTTGGGCAAAACAGGGGGTAACATTGCTGGACAGTCACAATTTCCAAGGATTTTCTGTTCCATGGTCTTGTCAAAGAGCGATTTGGTTTCTGGTATCTAAACGGGACTGATTTTCCAGTCACAACTTCCAGGAAAACACTGGAATTTGTCATAGAGAAACCAGATTGCAGACATATGGTGGATTGGTGGATATTCATTCCTCTGGTTCCACTGGATGACGGGGACCCACAGCTCCAGACGATAAGACCATGCTCTACATGAATGTGCCTGACCAAAAAGGGTACCCCTAAAATCCAATAGTTGGTCATCTTGTTTCCCGTCAAAACGACCACTTTATATCACTTTATGGGGCTAATCCATGTTCATCCCATTTTCAGGCACGCCATTCATCACATGCAGTTGGCGAAATATTTCCCATGATTTTCCATGATCTCCCATGATACATTCGCAGTATTCTTGGAAAGTCATACAAGGTGAGGTCGCCCAGTCATAAGTTGATTTATAATCCCCATTAAGTACATCTGGGTTTCCTAAAATAGGGGGTACCCCTCAATCATCCATTTTAATATACTTAATATATTTTAATAGGGTTTTCCATTATAAATCAACCATTTTGGGGTACTCCCCATTTATGGAAAACCTCATGTCCAAGGTTTGGCGATGTCAAGGTGGATGTGTCGCCCGGTCCACACTGGCCAGGTGTCCCTTGGACACAACGTGAGAAACCTGTGGACATAACAGGTATAGAACCAACAAATAACATCAACAGGTATGTAAGATAGATAAGACAAGATAAGATTGGATTGGATTGGATTGGATTACAGTAGGTAGATAGATAGATAGATAGATAGATTGGTAGATCGATCCATAGATACGGTATATATATAAATAAATATATATATATAAATATAAATAAATAAATATATATATATATATATACGTATATATATATACTAAGGCCACGAAATGAGCGACATTGCCGTTAGGTGATGGGGAAAGACAATTTGCAAAAAATCACGAATTCAAAAATTCAAAAGCACACACACACACATATATAGATATAGCAGGTACGTATCCACATCTGAACTAAGGATATAACAGGTATAGAACAGGCATGTAACCAATGCTGGGTTTGGCGCCTGATGATCCCGGTTGGGGCTCCATACAGCAAAGTTGATGATTCACATCTCAAGCTGTCATCTCTTCCGTGTTTCCGGGATATTTTTGGGATCTGGACGTGAACCAGGGTACTTAGATGTTGCCAGAAAGTGGTTTCAAATTGGATTATAACCACTCATAACTAGGATGTATTAGGATATACCCCAATTACTAAGCACATATATATATAGCTAATTCTGGCAACATCTAAGTACAGCAACAGATCATGACACCGACTAAGTCCCACCAAATGACTCGCGACAACGATGGCGCGGCGGTGTTCCTAGGACACGGTGCGATGTACGCTTTGGGGGGCGCACCCTCGAAACCACCTCCAGAGAAACAGCAGCTTCGGCACGGTCTGGCGCTGGCAACCCACCAATGAGAGCCACGCAGTTGCAGATGGTATAGCGGCACAGGGATACCTAGCGGGAAGCTCATGGAAACTCCAACATAATTCGATATTTTATAATATTTTTATAACATCAGGAATACCATATCAAAGCTCATTTAGATATTTTTAGATGATGTAATAAAACTTTCATATGCAAAGCATCAAGTCATCGTAGTTGGCGCCAGCTTCAGCGCCTTTCAGATTTCTGAAGGATCACGATGAAGTCAAGGTGCTTGACTTCTAAATCAGCTGATTTGATACCGGATGGCGAATTTGGGACCATTTTGGACCCATCCTCTGACCTCTCAGAATCCCCGAGTAAAAATCACCATAGTGGACCCTCATTTTCTATACAAAAAAAACATCAAACAGTCTTGAAACATATGGCCATATGGATCCATATGGTATATGGCCATGGATCCCACTTCGCCTTATATGGTTTCAGGCGATCTCACAGCTGGAGGGAAATGGCAGCTGGCTGCCGATGATAGCGACTATGACACCATGTTCCATGGCGATCGTCATGGGATTCGTCGAGGGATTCCAAGATCTCCGCCTTTTTTTGACCGCACTGAAAAATGATGTGGTCGATGCCGGAAAAAAACTGATGTGGTTGGAGGACTGTCCGAGATGCTGTGAGTTGCGCCAGAGGTTGTGTTTTATCTATTGGCACGATGATTTTCCTCCGCACTGATATGTATCTTTCATTGCTGAAAACAATCATACAGGTTCCCAGACCGTGCCACATACTTGGCAACAGCCAAAGATCCATTCCCGATGAGGACACAAGGTGACCGGTACTTGGATTATTGTCCCAGGCGTAGAATCATATATACAGTATATATAAATAATATGTCCTCATCGGGAATAATATTACGTATAATCATGAGGACATTATATGAGTAATCGATAAAATTATGGTATATCGAAAAATACCAATTGAGTCTTGCTTCGCCTTGGCCGCCGGGGTGTCGCCATGGCATGGAAATGACGCAAATTTTCTCCTCTAGTCGTATATATATATACACACATACATTAACTCTATGTGTTATAGCATGACACATTTCAAACACCATCTCCGCACTTCTAGCCACTTGCGCGCCCGTTGCGGGGCCGCAACGCGGGGTGCGGTTCGGTTCAGGTTCCATTGGAAGCGCGAGGGCATCTCTGCCAGTCTCGTGACCATCGATTGGACCATCCCCGATAACGCGCCCGGGGGCTGGTATACCATCCACTATAGCCACTTGGTGAAAGATACCCAGACAGTCGTTTCTTTTTTTGGATGGAACAACATATTTAAAATGGTTGATTTACACAGTCTATGTGACTCATTAAAAGGAAATATAAGGACCCTATTGAACGTGGAATTGTGCGGCTTAAGCAGGTTTTTACTGCTGCGTGCGATCTCTGGAGCCCTAGAATCGTGGCCCTTGAGTCCTGGAGTTGTGTTTTTTTTCAACCGATTCATGATTTTATGACACATTTGACACTTTTTAATCTGGATGGACAACAGCATCTTATACTGTAGCCATACTCTTAGGTTTTCTTGGGTTAGATTTAGCACATAAACCACTACAAGTTAAAGTTACCATGCAGCGGATCAACACACACACACACACCCAAGTCATTGATGGCTTAGCCACGTTCGCTGATTTGAGTTTGTCTCAAAACAAATACAATTTGTGCCCCCCGCAAAAGCCACGGTTAAAAGGGTGTGATTGTTTCTTTTTTTGAACAAAGGGTACAGTCCCCCAGGGTTTATCATCACTTTTCATTTTAAAATGACAATTTTACGGGTATACCTCATTTGTAGACACGCCCTTGTAACTGACCACCTGGTTGATGGCACTTACCCTTCATTTCCAGGTTTCCAACTTTTCTATCCCAGAAGTTTTCGAACGACGAGTTTCATCAGGCTTCCCCTAGCCACAGCAAATATTTTTTTGGGGTCAAACACACATATATATATAATTAATGTCTGTATATACACATGGTTATGGATCAAGATTTAGGACCCATAGAACCACAGGTTTTAGTTTGTGTTTAGTATGAACTATCCAATTTTTGGGGCATTCAATTCTGACCCACACCCACATATATATATATGTATACATACATATATATATATATATACATATGTATATATATACATATATATATAGACATATATGTGTATATATATATGTATACATACATATATATATATACATATGTGTATATATATACATATATATATATAGACATATATGTGTATATATATATATAGAAAGATATAGATATAGACATAGATATAGACATAGATATAGATATAGATAGACACACACCCACACACATATATATATATATATATATGTACATACATAGTTGAATGGTAAACGCAGCAGTTCCACCAAAGTGACCATTTTTCCCCCAGGTGGCCATGCAAATCGTGGAGGACAAATCTCGGCCATCAGCGGTGCCTGCGGACTCTTTGAGGCCCGATGGTCCCGATTTCTGGTCCGATTTCTGGTGGACTACGGGGTAAATTTCAGTGTGATTCAACTTAAGCAATGGTTTTTTAAGGGGTTTAAGTACCCCCAATTTTGTTTTTAATGATTGTAGAATGGGGAAATGGCCGAAGCTAAGGAGCTTGGGAGTATGCATCGTCTCCAGTTTGTTTGTGACAAAGACTGTTGCGGGTTCCAAGTTCTGGTACGCCCTGCGCATGAAGATGGTTCATGCAGGTGATTTTAACTCGGGTTTTCATGAGTTTTGCCTCACTTGTCATCCACAATTTTTCTGGATCCTGCAGGAGTGCAACGCATAAGATGCATACAGGCTTCAACATCCATTGAAGAACTATTTGAGGAAATGATACGAAGTCGATGTCGACGCAGTCTTCGTTTTTTAGCACAAATTGGGTGGGTCCAGGTTTCAACATGTTTCAAACCATATTGCCATACAGAACCCGACTTAAAATTACAAGGTGAGGCCCCCAAGTGATAGCTGCTGCAGCTGCTTGTTGACCACCTTCGAGGTACGCGAAGCTGAGCATATGATGCCGTCACTGCCGGTGCGACTTGGGAGGGGATGACTGAAATTTCCCCAATGGAAGAAGATTTGAATATCAAACTGGACATATGGTGAATATTGTTTAGTATTGTTGAACAAAATTGACGAATCAATCTGGGCTTCATCGAAAACCAGAAACTTTGGTCTAGCGATCTTTTTGGTTTTGGGCTCCATGTACTACAGGTATTACAAGTGGCCACCAGGAAGACATGACAGCAACTAGGGAACAAGGCCTTGAGGCGGGCCTGGGTTTTTAATCATTCTGCTTTTGGAGTTTGAATCAGGAATGAGATGGAATGAGCATAATATATTGTAATTTACAGTGAAGTATGCTTCCGTGACATGAATTCATATGAATTCTTGATATCAGCATGCACAGGTCAACATCTGAAAAAACAACTTTGCAGCACATCATTTTTTCGGCTTTCAAAACAATTTTTTCTTCGGTTCGTAGAAGTCTTCAGCCTCCATTCTTCGGTTTGAAGAGTTGACCGATGATGTTGGAAACGGAACTGCCATGATCGCACGGAAAAAGCATGAGTTTGGCATTCAGACGACCTCTATACAATGTCTTGACATTTTTCGGCATGTGAAGATCCGTAACAGTCAAATGCTGCAATGAGGGCCCGCAGCGGTTACGTGGAAAAACTAACGCCCGGCTTGGGGCGTTGACCCCATTAACTACTCCAAGTGGGACTGCATTTTTTGACCCATAACGCCCATACCATACAACACCCATGCCGGTTGGTGGTTTCAAAATGCTTCAAATACATACTATAATGATAATGATATATTTCTGATCCTTGGGGAATCTTTCGAAAAAATGAGAGAGATTCTTAAGATGGTGGCTCACAACCTAGTGTTGGTGGTTTGGAACATGGCTTTTTATTTTTCCCATCGGGAATTTCATCATCCCAACTGACTCACTCCATCATTTTTCCGAGGGTTCGCAGCAACCACCAACTTATTTTTCCATAGGGCACCGCCAGGATCAGTTCGTCATCCCTCCGCCGCAGTCGGTGGATGTGCCCGACATGCCGCTGCCGCGGCCGCGGCGCCCCCGGCGGCCACCCAGCGGACGTGCTCTGCGGGGAGCAAGGCGCGGTCGTTGAATGGTGAGAAAACTGGTGGTTTAACCAAGAGAAATGGTGGTTTAACCAAGAGAAATGGTGGTTTAACCAAGAGAAATGGTGATTTCATATGGCAAACATTTGATTTAAGTGACAACAATGGTGATTTAGCCTCTGGTCATTTAACGGTTTGCAATGGAACATCACAATTTTATAGGTAAATCGTCCTGAATCGTCTATAGATGGCACATTTTCCGTAGCTGTGTTAGATAACAGTAGGGTATAGAATGAGTAATTGTGAGCAAGAAATTGGATGTAATTAACATTTAATTAGCTCTGATTTCTATATTTCCGTCACAATATTTAGCTAAAGGATGCTAAGATCTCCCGCTTGGTTGAAAGGAACATTTGGATGAAACCCATGGGATTTGGTTCGGGTCAGATTAGACTAATTGGGTACTCGACATAAAATTAGTGCTTGATGCTTAAAATTTTTGTGTGGTTTTTGAGTACAGGAAATGACAGAGCGGTGTTGCCACTGGACAAGAACTTCCAATTCACGGAGTCCCAAATTGATTTTGCCCCATGCGGTACAGCATTTCAAACAACCACAGACCCCGGAATCAAATTTCACCATTTTCAATTGGAACATCATTTTCCAGCGGATCATTTGCAAATGTCCTGACCACCTCAGAACAACCTCCACCAAAAAGGCTGCCGGATAAGAGAAGCACTCCACAATAGGTCTACTCCAAGTGTACGAATTGTGCTATTTGCGCAGACATATAATGTCTCATGTTGGGATTTCAATCATCACCTTTAGCTGTTGTACAGGATGTCAATGATATCTGAGATCTTTTAAGTTCTCGGGTGATTTTTGAACGGATCACCGCCGTTGACATATGGATACTGTATTCTTCTTGTCAATCATGTATATATAGTAACCCCAAAAAGATGCCGAAGAGTCTTTCCATATAAAGATGAGGTTTTCACCATAATTTCCAGGTTTCCAACTCTACAACTGGTTGCTCAACTCGGGCTATTTCTGGTTGAAGAAAGTCTTATCCACTTTTCACGGCTCGTTGACTCCTTCTGCACCACGACGAATGACACCATTGCGGTTTTCCGGATATCTCCGGATCTTCAGCTTTCACACCATATCGAATACCCTCTGGTCAACTGTCCCATAACTATGGAAAATCACCATGCTATTAATGGGTAAATCAACTATAAATGGCCATTTTCAATAGCAAACTGTTTGTTTACCAGGCCGGGTATCTCTGTCTTCCACTCCCCAACCTTCTGCCGATGTCCATGCGCAGGAAATGAAACGAACGCGGAACCGGTCCGAAAATGCTGGTGCTGTAGAAGTTGTTTTCGGTCCCGTGGACCCCCTCTGGATGTGCACGAGTCACATCTTCACCACAAGTGTTAGCCAGCCTTCAAGCGGATCCGCAATTTTCCTCCGTCGATATATGGAGAAAGTGCTTGAGATTGCTGCGGAGATGTTTTTTTCTTTTGGGTGAACATCCATTTGCCAGCTGTTTTGGTGTTCACCAGGGACATTTGTGACAAAGGCTTTGGACCCATACGTGATTGAGAGAGTTGAAAGGAACTAGGTGTTGCTTGCGCAGAATCAAACTCTGCAACTGCCAGGGCAACTGCTGATCCATTTGAGGGCGAGAAACTTCCTGCTACAGGATTTTGACCGGGTGTACCATGCCGTGGCAACGCGAAATTTTCCGCGCCCGGCTGGGATCACCACAAAGGACTTGCTGCTCCATGGGCTGTATATCTGTTGCGGGACGAGTGAAACGAGCGACAAGGGGAAACGAGTTCTGTGAATGATTTCTGGTTCAATTTTTCGTCGTCAACAGCTGTGCCGCCCGATGCATTTGGTGATTGTGCCGGCACAAATTCAAAGCTTTCATCAAGCACCATTCGCAGATTCCATTGATTTTCTTATATTTTATCCACTTCTTTGAATTCGCACAAGGATTGCAGTTTCAAGGCACGCATTGTTGTGGCGGCTTGGACGGTAAGGTCCAGACGCCGCTTGAAAAGTTGCCGACACGCCCTACAAACCACGGTGGTTCAGAGGGCCACTGATTGGCTTCCATTTGTTCCCGTGGAATTCAAAGCGGAAGTCCGGCAGTACGACATCACCCGAACGAAGTGTGACCGGCCATGGATCCAACTGGACACCCCCAGGGGATGAACATCCAGTCTACTAGGCTTTCCCTGGTTGAGCACCGCGGTGACTTGAGTGGCTCACTTCGGATGTTGTCGACATTGGCCCGGAATTTTCAAAGATGCTAATACAAGAAGCTAAATCCAAGGATCCGGAGCCCACATTTTGACCGCATGAAACGACAGTCTATGGCTAAACATGTAAGTAATACATGCATAATACATCATAATATATATATATACAATATATATATATATATATAATAATGTAGATGGATGGATGGATGGATGGACGCATGGATGGATGGATTGATGGATGGATAAATCGATATATATATATATAGATGGATGGATAGATAGATAGATAGATAGAGATAGAGATAGAGACAGAGATAGAGACAGAGATAGAGACAGAGATAGAGATAGAGATAGAGCTAGAGGTAGAGATAGATAGATAGATAGATAGATCGATCGATAGATAGATAGATCGATCGACAGATAGATAGATAGATAGATAGATAGATAGATAGATAGATAGATAGATAGTAGGTAGGTAGGTAGGTAGGTAGGTAGGTAGGTAGGTAGATGTGATATCCTGTATGTACACATACATATCCTATCCTATCCTATCCTATCCTATCCCATCCCATCCCATCCCATCCCATCCCATGCTATCCTTCCTTTGACAGTACAACTTATACGTACATAGATCTGACGGCCTGACGTCTCTCTGGATTGGGCAGAAAGCACAACTTGCCAAGTATGTTTGTGCAAGATATAATAGAGAAAGCAGGAGAACACCAACTGTGTATATATATATATATATACACATGTCTATTTGTAGAACAAATCCAACTACCAACATGAGTAGCAATAGAACTTTTATGAACATCTATTTGGAATACAACATGAGCTGCGGCTTGTGGGCCCTGGTAATTTGAGAGTAGCCCGTCTTTTGGAAATCTCGGCTCCTTGACAAAGCAAGGCGCCCTCGACTTCGATCGGAAGTTCAGGACCGACTCACCGGTCTTGGCGAATGGAGATACCGAGATACCCGGTATGCTGATATTTTGTGCTGCAGATGGTCACCGTTTATCACCTGAACTTCCCCCGACATTGGGCCCCTCAAGGGGGCGCGCGGCCAATTCGGTGTGCCGGACGATTCGATCTCCTTGGGATGAGCGGCGGCGACGCCGGCGCATGCGTAGGGATGTTTTTTGGTGGCTCTCTGGGAGGATGCTGATGTTTTTTGAGGGATGAAATTTTGGTTGAAGGTTATGGCATGTTATGGCTAGTCAGTTGACTGCCTTTCCGAACAGAGGCTTGCCAGCCCTCCAATCAAGAAGACTCCAGCCTTAACAGCCCTTTTGAGGTCGTTGTAGCCCTCTAAACGTCGCATGATGACCTCTTGGTTGAGTTCTTTTTTTGGGGCCTTGGCGACTCAACCACTATCGAACATGAATCTTGGGTGTTTTTTTCATCCGTAGATTTCCTTTTCCCACTGATTGGTTGATTAGTAGAGGAGTTACGGTACCGCCCCCATTTTTACAACCCATAGGGAATTTGGGATAAATGGTATGCCACCCTGAACTTCTCTTCCCAAAAAAACATGATTGTTTTACAATTGGTTTACATTGGTTTCATCAATGAACTAACCAGCAACCGGCAAATGTTAGAACGATAGGAGGAGCTGATCGGAATCTGTAGCAAAACCATATATAGCAACACAAAAAATAGAACACATGTGACTATTTCAGTAGCCTTTTGATGTTCCTATCCTTTTTGGGAGTTGCTATAGCATGATATTTCACCACCTACAGATGATATCAGGACTGCCACCTTCAAAGCGCGGCCCTCTCGTGGTACCACCGAAACCTGGTAGCCCAAACTGTAGCCGAAAAAGGCCCTTTCTTTTGGCGGTTCTGGGGAGTTCGGAGGTGACCCCACAGATGTTCTTTACCAGAAATAATGGTTCAACATCAAACCAACCATGCTGAGGATATGACAGATATATTATTTAACTGGATATGTAAACAACGAAATGAAAAAAATGTGTTTGTAGAAAAACGAGGGGACCTGAAAGGAATAGTGGGAACATGATGATCAACGATGAACCATATCAGATTTTTGGGCAAGCTATCTTTAGGCAAATCCAATTCGTTTTTGTTCTTGCCACCCATAGTTGTAGTCATCTTTAGCTTGACGCTTGTTACATTCTTTCATGATGCCTTTGGCAGTCTATATCATCTTGTTTCTTCTTGATATGAATGGCTTGATGCAGTTCGCCTGCTTTTGAGAGAGGCTTGCTCATGCTCATTCCGTGTGTTGGGTAGCTGGGCAAGATGATGTTCAGTGCCTCATGCAAGAACTGTTTGAAAGTTACAAGTTAAATTGTGGTCACCAGAAAGTATGTAGCAGGAATTTTGTCCAGACATCTTTGGTTGCAATGGTGACACGCTGACTACTGTACTTGGCCCATTGTGATTCCAATCGCGATTCCTTATGATGTATTCACACACAGATATATATATATTTATACACATCCAAATTATATATTGACAGTATAGTTTTATGTATAGACTATTGACTATAGTTCAATGTTTATTTTCTAAACATTCTCATGTTGCCTTCCGACTGGAGCGACATCGCTTTCCAGGAGGAGTGCGAGATGCTGCGCGAGAAAGGAGAAGCAGTTCCGACCTTGAGATGGGCGAGAAAGTTGCCATAGGGCGGGGGTATACCATGAGACAGCCAAAAATAAAGGTCAGATTGGGGATTATGTCATCATCATGTGAATTCACGGATGAGTTTTCACTCGTAAAATCGCGAAATCCTTGTTTTTACGGGTAATGTGGCTCCCGGGGTTGCCGACTTGTTTAATCAAGAATTTGCTTCTCGCTGTAGGCGCGTGGCACTTTTGGAAGATGAGGTCGGCCAAATGTGCACCAGACTGTAGCCAGAGCTCGATTTAAAGATCGTGAAAAACTGAGGGGATGGGAGCAGCGCGGGATTTGTGTGGTTGAGTCCGCACTGCCGACGCTGACTGAACGTTGATCGATGTGATGCGACGCTGCTGCTATGCGGGTTTGCAACCGGCTGTGACAAAATGCATTGACACGGCTGTGCAGCAGAGCATCAGTGATGCTGCGATGCTCATGCCATGCGGGATTGCAGCTGGAGGTTGCCAAACGCATTGTAACAGCTGCGCGAAAAGAATTGGGTTGTAGAAGCTACAGGAGAGCTAGCAGGGCCAGAGAAGAAGTAGCCCAGATAAGAGGGTGCTCAGAGAAGAAGTAGCTGAGAGAAGAGGCAAGTCACGAAAGCTAGCGTCAGCTAGCTGGAGTCTTCTTGCTTTAGCAAGTATTCAGGGGGCTGCTCAAGGACATCACGTGATTTTTCACGTGAAAGGGCCCCCCCCCACCCCACCCCACACCCCACCACCATCACCATCACCATCACCATCATCATCATCATCAGCATCATCATCATCATCATCATCACCATCATCATCATCACCATCATCATCATCATCATCATCATCATCATCTCCACATCCTTAGCACCCTCGTCCTCATCATCATCCCGATCAGCTGCCGCAGCCTCATCATCATCAGCATCATCATCAGCATCATCATCATCATCATCATCATCATCATCATTGTCATCATCGTTGTCATCATCATCATCATCATCATCATCACCATCATCTTCATCATCATCATCATCATCATCATCAGTATCAGTATCAGTATCAGTATCAGTATCATCATCATCACCATCATCATCATCATGAGCATCATCATCATCATCATCATCATCATCCATCAGCATCAGCATCATCATGTTCTTTTCCTCATCCTGATCATCCTCCTCCTGATCATCATCCCGCTGGCATTGAAGATACGTCTTCCCTTCCTTCTTTCTCCTACCCCGCTAGCTTTCGTCATCCACCCCCGGCCTCAAGTTCATTCATTCATCCATCCATCCATTCATGCGTTCATTCATTGGTTAATTGGTCAATAGGTTCAACCATTCATTGATTCATGGATTCACTGATCTGTTGGTTCATTGATTCATTGGTTCGTTGCTTCGTCGATTCATCGATTCATGGGTTCATTGATGCAGTGATTCAGTGTTCATGCATTCGTTGATTCATTGATCCATTTTTGCTCATTGGTTCCTTCGAATCATTGACGCTTCTTTGATTCATTGATGCTTTGCTTGACTGGTTCATTGATTCATTGATTCGCTGAAGCATCGGTTCACTGGATCATTGAG